TCACTCGTTAATTAATAATCTTTATTAACACTAATTACAAGAATAGTTTAGAAGCTCATTATATGCCTGGACATTACTAAGCAACTTTTAACTAATTACAGTTTATGTTGTGAATTCAAAACATTCAATGATAGAAATTCATGAAAATTTTGTTGAACATCCGATTAGGGAACTATGGGCTTGTTTAGTTAAAGTCTAGTGCTTAACTGGTGTGTGAGAATATTCAGATTTACATTGCAATATTCTTGGATAAGATTTAGGTTTATGATGGAAAAAAATTAGGCCAGGATTAATGATGATTGTTTCTATTTTTGGAATGCCAAGACTTGATTTTCATGAGCTTCTACATTTCAATTTCACCAATGATGTGTTGTTTTATAGGGCATGATGATTATTCATCAAGATTAACAGTTAAATAGTTTGATTTAATACTGAATACGCAAACATCATGTATTAAAAAAATCTCATTCTGACTACTTCATGTGTACGAATGGTGCATGGATATTGTTTTGTGTTTATTCCTTCATGTTCCTTTATGCTGTTTTGTCTCATTGTTGATGTCTAATTGTTTTTATGAAGATTTACATACATAGCACTGAATTCTTATGTATTTACATATCTAATACCTAAAGTTCAATTTTGACATACATGCCACTTTACCTATATACATAAAAAACTGTATTTCACTTTCTAAAAGTTAAAATAGTGGTACTTTTGATGTGGTATGTAAGATTTGGGTGGAACAAATGCAAAAAGTAAAATTTAGGTGTTGATATGTAAATATATAAGAAGATGGATGCTCTTCTTTCGATGTACTAACATAAGATTACTTTGGTTCTCGCGTGCATTTAGTATTATAGATCCCCAGTTTCCGGTTCCACATTCCAGTCGAAAGATGAGGTTTTGCGCCATCTTAGTCTAGCAAAGCATGACAGCGGCACATCTGGAAGGGCATCATGTTCTAATGAAAGCAAAAAACAAGTAAGATTGGTGTTGTTACAGTTAATATTGACAGATTTCACACAGTAATTTGTGACTCACAGAAGTTGATCATCTTTTTGCTTTCAGCCTGCAAAAGAAATAAAGGAATCTCTTGAACCTTCAGGATGGATTTTGGAGATTAAAAGTCGAAGGAGAGGAAAAACTGTGAGAAAGACTAACGAGGTATTGAGCTTTACAAAAATAAGAACACGTTTAACTGTTCCTATTAGTTGCTAGAAAGTAACTTTATATGAGGCAACATGATTTTATGTGATTTTTTAAGATCAGGTCTTACCAACGATGACATCTTGCTTTTTGAGAAATTTACATACATAGCACACAATTCTTATGTATTTACATTTCTCACACCTAAATTTCATATTCCATACATAGTATTTTGGTGCTTTAAATCTATGCATGAAAAGGCGTATCTCACTTTTAAAAATTGATAATAATGCTATTTTTGATCTGGTATTAAAGATTGGAGTGGTATGTATGTAAACATGAAAGTTTAGGTGAGAGGTATGTAAATTCCCCTAAATTATTTAGTTATTTATCATTGAACAAATATTCCCAACATTATTTCATATGTTCTTTATCTGTTTGGGAAAATTATACATTTAATTCCTGAAATAGTTACATGTACATGTTCATATATGTTTGAGAATCGAGATATCGTCTTCTTAATTTGTTATTGAAAAACACTTAACATAGCTTAGCCATAATTCACAAACTTGGCTTCAAATTTACTTCAAATCTACTGTGGCTGTTCAAATTGATTTAAAATAGCTTTAAAAGTCGTGTTTGAGATTACCATAGTGATGTGATCCAAGCTCAAATTCCTTCTGTAACTATTGCTTGCACTGAGTTTTATTCCCTGGTTTACTTTTACTCTGATTTATTTTATTACAAGTTGCCTTGGATTAAGTTGTTTTCCAATTGTGCCAGCTGAACTTTACTATAACTTTGCTTTTACATGTATACCGCCCAAATTTTTCGAAATACATAAAAAATATAATAATTTTTTACTTTTAAAAAGTGAAATACACATTTTCATGCACACGAAAGGTGGTATAAAAATGTCAAAATTGAAGTTTAGGTGTTAGATATGCAAATACATAAGAATTGAGTGGAATATATGTAAATCTTGTTGTATAGAAATGTCAAAATTGAAGTTTAGGTGTTAGATATGTAAATACATAAAAATTGAGTGGAATATATGTAAATCTTGTTGGGTAATGTGAAGACCCGGTCTACCGCAATTTAATTAGCTTCCTAATTAAGAATCTCACCTACCGCTCACCGACCTTCCCACCTACCGCTCACCTACCACATCCTATCTACCGCTCTCTTGGTTTCTATAAATCGCTGCTTATGGCTTGTCATAAGAGCTAAGTCCTCTAAGAGAGAAAGAGAAGAAGAAAAGAGAGAGGAAGAGAGAAGAAAATAAAGATTTTTCTTGTAAACGTCGAGGCGTTCGACGGTGTAAATTCTCGCAGAAATAAAATCCTCTGGACTGTAGCTCCGTAGACGTAGAAAAATTTGCCGAACAACGTAAATTTGTGTCGCTCTAGTGTTTTTTTTTACACAATTTTCTCATTCCAATTTTTCGCTTTATTGTCGTTGTTTTTCATCACAACTGGTATCAGAGCCCCGGTTCAGAGCCCCGGTTTGGATCTGAGAAAGAACGATGTCCGGAGACAAAGTGAATGTTTCAAGGATCGAGAATGCAGATAGAGGACTACCTCTATTGGAAGAAACTCTATCTTCCATTACTGGGAAAGCTGCTGAAGAAGATGGAAGAGGCTGAATGAAATCTGTTGGATCGACAGGTTTT